CAAGCAGATCTGCTGAATGTTATCAATGGGTTGCATAAATACTTTGTAAATATTTTAACTTATATCTCTATATTTTTAAAAAGTGTGTGTATGTGTGAGGGAGACAAATTCGGCAAATGTCATTTGTGGCTTGCAGGTCCAATAATAGAAAAAAGAAAGTTAAAACTTTCATTCTCCTGAAAAACACCATTCAATTATAAAGTAAGTGTTTTTAAAACTTTTGAGAAAGGGCCTCAAATGCTAAGCCAAACCGAGTTAATCACATTTCCAATTTTCTGTCTACACTATCTGTGTCCAACTGAAACTGCAGTTTGCTTGTCTTAATAGCAAAGTGAAAAAAACAGTAAAAGAGTGCAAAATTGTTAAATTACACTTGGTTTTGTTCTTGAATTATTATTTCTGAGCCAAAGCAATCAACATTTTAAATGTATTTTGTCCCAGCAAGGAAACAGACCATGAAACTAATTTGCAAAAATGTCTTCTAAACACAGTTTCGCAGAAGAATATAAAAGGCATACCAACTAATAACAGTAACCAAGTTTCTCCATGAAATCTTTCTCTCTACTGCTGCCGTGGTGTCTTGCAAGAGATGTGCAGTTTCTTTCCTTGTTAGCGGTAACAAGAGCTGCTAATCTTTCCCTCAAGCAAATCCTTAAAAGCCATTGCATTTTCTATTTCAAACACAGTTTTCTCTTCCTACTTACCCCACTGAAATGTAGGCAACAATTACGTTATTCCCTTTTAGGACAAGCAATATTATGCAAGTAATAAATTTGCATAATGGAGAAAAGAAGTGAGAAGTAATAGTAAAAAAAAACCTCAAAGACAAGAAGCAAGAGAAAAAGAAATTTACATCTAGTTTGCATCAATACTTGTTACTTTTTCACACTTAACAACAGTGGTCATGTGGTCAAAATTTGGCCCCTTGGCAACTGGTATGTATTTATGATGAAGTGTCCCAGGTTCATGTGAGTCACTTTTACAACCTTCTGATTTTTATTTGTATTTTTTTTAGCATATGGCATGTGTTAGCCAGGGATCACTGAAGTGGCTGGCTGCCTCTGTGAAAGGACTTTTTTGGCGCGGTGTTATCTTTACCCATGGGATGCTTGAATGCTGGTAGGCAATCAGCAGATGCTCCTTTCTTGTTCCTATGTGGTTTATTCACTTATTGTTCCTATGTGGTTTATTCACCTCAGTGGTGCACTGGCCCAGCCTCTTACCACATGAGCCTCCGTGGCCCCACAACCTTCTGATAAGCAAAGTCGATGGCGAAGCAAGATTCACTTAACAACCATGTTAGTAACTTAATAGCTGCAGTGGTTCACTTAACAATTATGGCAAGAAAGGTTATAATATGGGGCAAAAATTCACTTAACAACCATCTTGCTTAGCAATGGAAATTTTGGGCTCAATTGTGGTTGTAAGTTGAGGGCTATCTATAATCTATTTTATATAATTTATAATTTACTTTGTGACCTGTTTGCTCTCCCTTCATAGATTTGTTTTACAATTCAATTTTTTTTAATAAAAAAATCTTTTGTTTCATTTATTGAAATGATTTTTATTCTCACCCATCTCACAGCAGTGACTTTATGTGACCATATTACTTCAGTATAGTTGTTTTTGTATTGGTCACTTATTGTTGTATTCCATCCATGTTCACTAATTATCTAGTCATGCTTCACTCATTTTTATCAGGATTTCCTCATCTTAAAATATCTCATCCATTTCCCCATATTTAGTAAGCATTCTATCAAGGAACACAAATTCCACATTCTGTATTTGTTCTAATTTTTTCACCATTTATGCTTAACTTGCAATTGTTCATTTATACTGTTAAATACTGTTATCTTAGTTTATGATACATTAATTTTGAAATCTATATTCCTGCTTACTATGTGTTTAATTAACTTTTACTTTTCCCAAGATGAGACAAAGTCCTAAAATCCTATAAATGTGGGGTTTTCTTAACATTTCATCTTTGTGGCTGGCATGGGAAATGGGTGAGGGAGAAGTGAAATATTAACTAAAACAATAGAAGATGGATAAATCTACTTCAAACAAACTTGTTTTCTGTGGTGCTAAACAGAGATGGTATTCAGCAGGTTCTGACCAGTTCTGCAGAACCGGTAGTGGAAATTTTGAGTAGTTTGGAGAACCGATAGTGGAAATTTTGAGTAGTTCGGAGAACCTATAGCGGAAATTTTGAGTAGTTCAGAGATTCGGTAGTGGAAATTTTGAGTAGTTCGGAGAACCGGTAGCGGAAATTTTGAGTAGTTTGGAATACTACCTCTGACTGGCCCCACCCCCATTTCTTCTCTGCCTCCCGAGTCCCAGCTGATTGGCTGGGTCTTCTTTTGTTGCCCTGCACAGGAGAACGGAGGTGGAAAGCAGGTTAGTGGGATGGGGAGGGAATGGGATTTTGCAGTATCCTTCCCCTGCCACGCCTACCAAACCACGCCACACACACCAAGCCATGCACACAGAACCGGTAGTAAAAATTTTGGAATGCCATCACTGGTGCTAACTATAGCCAAGCTATTTGATTCCAGGGCTTCAGAGGTTAAAACTAGATTATATTCCTGAATTAAATGGATTACTGAAACAATTCCAAAAGATAATAATTTATGCCACAGTAGCAAACGCATAAAGGCATAGCATAGCACTAAAACATGTTTGTAAAAGTTAAAAAATATTTAGAGAATAAACCCAAGAGAAACTGTTAATGGAAAATAGCCTAAGGAGAGTGCTCATAGTTCACATCTTCCCAGGTGGGATATAGAAAAATGCCAATAAAGAGGGAATATAATCAAGCACCCTAAATAAAAGGAGCATATTGTAATGTTTGCTATTGTACAAATAGTAGAATCAGTTAAATAGAAAATATTTGTCAGCTTTCCAAATATATTTGAATCCCACAGAAGAATTTCAAATATATTTGAATCTCTCAGAAGAATTTCAGTGGAGGAAAAAAGAGGTCTATTTGTCATACAATAGTACAAAAGTTACTTGTCTTACTCCAAATAATGCATGCTAAAAAAATTATTTTGAAATCTTGTGATTCCCCTTTGATGCAGTGGTAAGAACAAAACAGATCAGATTGGTTCAGATCAGGTGTGCACTATTTTGGATTAGAAGGGAGAAATTAGATTTGAAGCGCAGATCCAAAGGACAGATGTGAGCCTAGGAAAAAAGATGCAGCTGCTTTAAGAAACTTCCACAGTTGGAGCTACATCTGGGCCTAAACATGCTCCAAATCAGATTACTTCCTTTGAATCTAAAGGGTTTGTAACCCAGAAAAACAGAATAAAGTCATACCTGTTGGCAACCAACTAAAACAACGATCTGATGAATTTTCATATAAATATCCTTGCCTCTTAAGTACCATTAACTCAATCATACTGTGTTACCATGGAGCATAAAACATGAGGGTGTTTATTTGAAAGAGATATGCATTGTTTCAAAAACTTGATAAATTAGACACAAGGAGGCATTCTAATTAGAATTTAAATGAAACATGTTAGCATTCAATAACCTTCAAAATGGAATGCCTTTTCAAGCAAGGTTTCATTAGAATAGCTCATAATGAAGAAAATTAAACTCATCTGATAGCATGCTTTGTATATTCCAAAGATAGTGGAGTATACATACAAAAGATAGTAGAATATGTTAGTGGAACAGCTTGCCTT